AAAAAAAAAAAAAAAAAAAAAAAAAAATGCGACTTTTTACTTTTATGTTCAGTTATTTAATTCAAGAGTAGAAGTTGTCAAATGTGGAATTGTTACCTCCCTTTAATTGTCATATTTCCTTCTCTGACTCTGATCTTCCTGAGTCTCCTTTTTAACAATCCGATCCTGTGTTAACATTGGGTGCACTTGGGTATTCCAAGATAATCTCCTTAATTCAATATCCTTAACCACCTGTTTTTTGTGCTATGTAAGTTAACATAGTGACAGGTTTGGGGACCAAAACATTAACATCTTTGGCTGGCCATTATTATGTTTACCAGAACTACAAACAGCTGTTAAAGAAATCAATTTTACAATCTTCACCTTTAACTCATGTTTTCTTCATTTGCATTTTTTGCAATTATTGGATCTTGCATCAATTACTTGACATTTAATCTGTCATTATTCTGTTTTTTAAATTTTTTCTCCCCTCTTGCTTTTTATGTTCTTTGTTTTTTTCTTATTTCATTTGTCATCTATCATAGCAGGGATTATACATTTTTTTGTCTTTTTTTTTTTAAATTATACTTTAAGTTCCTGGGTAGATGTGCAGATCATGCAGGTTTGTTACACAGGTATACACATGCCATGGTGGTTTGCTGCATCCATCCCTCCGTCATCTACAATAGGTATTTCTCCTGATGTTGTCCCTCAACAATCCCCCCACCTCCTGCTATCCCTCTCCTACCCCCCACCACCGCCTGACAGGCCCCAGTGTGTGCTGATCCCCTCCCTGTGTCCATGTATTCTCATTGCTCATCACCCACTTATGAGTGAGAACATGTGGTGTTTGGTTTTCTGTTCTTGTGTCAGCTTGCTGAGAATAATGGTTTCCAGCTTCATGGAACATTATACATTTCTTTGTTTTAATTTAAATTCCATTCAATTTATTCCTGGGATTTTACTATGCATATTGAACTTTCCACCACTAAAATTATTTCTAGACATTTTATTTTAGAAAAATGTATCTGTTAAACTTCGTGGCTTTGTGTGTACTCAACTTTGCGATTGCATCTATTTCTTCAAACAGTCTTAGTATATAAATGGCTGTTTCTTACTTTTGCTTGCTCTTGCACACATCGCCTTCTTATGTATTCAGTACTCTGTGTTTGTATGTCATTTCATCTTAATTATAGTAGTCCTGTGGGCCTAACGTTTGGGAAACTTTCCTCCAGAAAAAGTACATGCTTCTCTTGCTGTTCTTCAGAAATAGAAGCACTGTTGGATCAATTCAGGGATCTAAGGAGTTTTTTAATTTAGAATGAAAGAAATAAAATACAATAAATGACTTAACAATATCAACATAAATAAGACTCCACAAAAACTTCTTTTATTTAAATATATGTATATTTTATTTATGAACTCATTGATTTTAATATTTTCAAATGTTTTAAATACTTTCAGTTTTATTATGTTGGGTAATGTCCATATTTTCAGAATATTGGCCAACAGTAGCCTCTTTCATAGGATTCCTGTGTCCCCTTGACATAATGCTATCAATCATTTAAAGCTTACTTTCCTTTGGCCGCTTTACAATATCCTACCTAGACCTACCTTTGATCTTCATTTACCCACCGTGGAATTTCTATTGCTCACAGCTCCTTGAGTTCTTCTGAGAATGGTTTGTATTAGAAACATAATAGGTTCATGTTGCTAGGGTCACTGAGTTCCTAGGTCATTTCAGTGGACAAAGTTTCAAAATAAAGTTTTTTAAAAAAAGCATGCTTCCTATTAATATTTCCACTTACTACTAGCATTATGGTGTCTCTATTAATTTTCTTTGACTCAGTAGTTGTTCTACTGTTTACTTATAGTGAAAATATTTCTTAAAAAATAAACACACATATATATTGTTTGTATAACAATCCAAAAATAATGATAAAATGAGGTTAATATTAAAAATAAAACTACTAAAAATTGAATTAATAAAAATAAAACTGCTGAATTTAGTTTAGTGTTTTCTGTATTGATATTTCTGCTTCTAGTATGCATTCTAATGGGTATATATATTCAATTTACTTTGGTTTAGAGTCACTTATAACTCATTCTGTGTGGCTATGGAAGTATTTATTTGATGTATGATTTGTTGCAGTTTATTTCAAATTCAAGGTGTTGTCATTCCAAGAGATGACAGTTCTATATTCTTAGAAAGTGTCATTTTTAGGTGTTGATATTTAGATTCTGATGGAGAGTGGTAGAAATGAGCTCTATTGGTCTACCTTATGAGATATGGCAAGAAAACAAATCAGCAGTTTAATCTCCAAAGCGCTGTGTAAGTGTTTCATTTATTCACCGTCTGGTATATCCACCATGGTTAAATGCTTGGTTATGTGCATAACATTCATATGTATGAATTCAGGCTGAGTAAAACAATTCTGTATTCTATATTCAGTTTCAAATAACATTAAAATCTACATGTTTTCCATATGCAATTAAATTTTTACTTTGCAAAATCTTTTTTGATATTTTATTTATCTTTCTTACTGTAATAAGCTGAAAGCTCATTTTCTTATAAGACATAATATTCCCTTATAGCCTTGGTATATCTTGCTGTGCACTGTTATGCCAAGGCTTTCAAATGTATACATTTAATTCCCAGATAGAATTGTCATTTAGTATCTTTCAATTTTTTATTTTATTCCAGGGGGATTTTGAGGAAGATATCTTGTACCTTGAAATGCTATATTATTGGTAAGTCACTCTATATACAAAAATGATTTTCGAAAATTTGCCTGAGATCCCATTTTGCATTTCATAATTCTGCAAATATATAACTAGAACCCGTTTGAATTATAGACAGTCTAATGAAAAATTCCAATGTATCTATTACTAAAATGTTGTACAAATGTAAACTTCTTAAAGTCAATGAAAATATTAAGTATAAACAGAATGTATCAAAAAGAAAGCAATTAAATTATTAAAGCATTGTTGCAAAAATGTATATGACTTATAGCTTGAAACTGTCCTAGATATTTTCAATACAACTTTTATATAATCAGAAAAATTTAGATTATCCATTTCATTAAAATTCATTCATAGAAAACACTAGATTTTATCATTGTTACACACTAATAGCCACATTTTCTCTTTTAATTTGTGTTTTATGTTACATTTATATAAATGTTTAGCTATGGATTTTGGTACACAAATGAAAAATTTGTCAGAGAAAAGAATGCATGACACAAATTAATAATTCTGTGTATAGTAACTGCATTTATCAACACACACACATTAATAGAATTATTTTTTCAATTGAACATCACATTTCTATTTCATTATATGATACATTACCTCTTTTTAAGACTTTACCCAAAGTTGCCTTTTTAAATCTCTAAAACAAACAACATATTTAGAAAAAAATAGAAAAACATTAAAATTATCAAATAATTTTTTAAAAAACCTCTAGCCTTAGGCAATTATTTATTTCCTGCTTCTGTTCTATCATGAAGACAAAGTTGAACTTCTTTATAAGCTTTACTGTATTTCAAAAAATAATTTTTATTGGTTTTAAAAGATATAATTGTTGGCATTTTTAGTTGCTTATATAGCTACATTCATAGACTCATTCTGTCCTTCTAGTTCGAAATATACACTACAAATTATTTAACTACAAGTTTTTTTAACTTTCACAATAAAATCATTGTGTTTATAATCAAGTGTTTAATGTTTTTGTTTGTTTGCCGGTCTTCCAAATAATAATTCTTGAGATCCTAAGATATCTAAGCACATGTTGAAGATTTAATAAATGTATATAACGTGTTTTATGAACCATAGCACCCACACTTCTTTTTAAGGAAACATCCTTTTTCTTTAAAATAATCTCACATATAAAAGCAGAGTTGCTTACACATACACAAATTGAATTATCAGTGTCAACACAGTATGTCTTGCTAGACTAGAGTTCCTAATTTAAAGTACCTGTCTTCTAATTTCTTGTCTTATGCAGTCTAGGCTTACTCTGAGTAGAGAACTACTCCATTTTGATCAATTTCCAATTACTTGAATGTCTTGCCTTTAACAACTAAATGCTCTCCTGGGTGTTCTGAGTCTTTTATCTTTAGAGACAGTCTATCACAAAGCTCAAGTTCACTCATGATGATGCCTCAAAGGCTCAGCCTTATTTTAAGGGGTTCCTGCAATCCCAGAGGCAAAAATTCCAGACGAGTGTGGAGACTTGGTGCATACATGGACTTTGGTAACTCCCAGGAGCAGAGGAAGAGGAAGAACTCAGCCACCTAGAAGATCGTTGTCTCCTGATGAGAAGGAGAAACCAATGCATGGTTTCAGAAGTTCCTGCTCTGATATAACAGTGATGGATGAATAATCAAAAAAGATTTTTACACATAAGACTGCTGCTTCTCCAGTTTTATTTCATCATGCTTTATGTGGTTTTGTAACTTCTTCAGAGTAATTGGGTAGTAAAATTCATTTTCCCACTCACTCCATAACTCCAGCTGGTTAGAGTGGGTTTATTCCAGATTTCAGCATCTCTTAGATATTTCAGCTTATGTTTCCCTGAAACATCAAGAGGAAACTATAATTTTCAGTCATCTCATATCAATATAAAACTTTACAGATTTGGAACCACACTATTTTGTAACAGGAAATATACTACTACTCTGTTCTGGAATAAGGAAGTACCTATAGTAGGTGAATCTGGACTTGAGACAAAAACAGGGCACCTGATACTTCCAGGGCATCTTATAGAAAAGATTAAAAAGGGCAGAAGTATGATGCAGAAGCTAAACAGTGACTCAGTAATGATTTCTAATTAAAACAACAAAGTTTTTTTGAACTTAAACAGTTGAGGGTTATAGCCTAGAATGCCAGTCCCAGACAATGGTGGAGAGGCAAAAAGGAAGAATCGAAAGAAAAGTTTTAAGGATTTACCCACAACTGTCCTCATCTTGTTTACTCATTCCACCATTTTTGTGTATTACATTGTAGAAAACAAAACCATGGATTCAGAATCTAAAATGAGACTTTGTCATTAATTATTTTTTAAAATCTTATGTGGAAAGAAAAAAGTTGACTGTGTTAATTATCTGTTGACGTATAACAATTATTACAACAAACTTAGAAGCTTAAAACTACACACATTTTTTATCTCACAGTTTCGGGGATAGAGTTTAGCAAAATTCCCTGCTTTCAGGTCTCACAAAGCTGCAGTTGGTCAGGGCTAGTGATGCTAAGTATTGTGCTATATACAAGAGATGAAAAAGCCAAGAATCAATTTCTCCATAGAATATATAATACACCACAGAAAAGCATCATTTGTGGAAAGGCGATTTCAAAATAATGTCATTTAGGGTATAGAAAAATTGGGATTTGATGACTGAT